CGGAAATGTAGATGTTTACAACAGTACATAGAGAAATAGACTAAACATTTCCTGGTAAAACCAGATGACCTTCATGATGTCACTCAACTCCCTTTATATATATCACTCTTGCCATCGGCTACACTGTACCGGAAATGAGATGTTTACAACAGTACATAGAGAAATAGACTAAACATTTCCTGGAAAACCAGATGACCTTCATGATGTCACTCAACTCCCTTTATATATCACTCAATCGATTACACCACCATTCCCAGTTTGCCCCTGAATAAGAAAGGTCCAACTTTTCAAAAGCACTCGGGTTATAGGGTTTTTATTCATTTCTGTCAAGACTTTTTGAACCTGTGTTTTTCTAACATCATGAATGTTTTTAGTGAAGTATTTTTAATAAACTAAAATAAAGATTTGTCCATGAATATACTGAATATTTGTTTTGAATAGTTTGTGTGCAAAGTGAATTTCATGTTAAGATTAAAAATACTTTTCTTTATCTCAAAAATCTCAAATTTCATTTGTACAATCTCTAAAACCCCTAAATACATTTCAAAATGTTTGTTTTCAGTAAAACTTTATATTTTATCTGTTATTTTCTCTACCATAACTCTACACAAAGTTGGCCAATTTGACTGACCTACTAATCACAAACAAAAATCTAAACAAATCTAAATTACCCTCTTTTTCTTTCTAGCATGACTTCAAATGTAGTGTGAAACTGCATTTGTTTATCCTAAGTAGTTTAAAAACTTGTAATAGTATACATCTATTTATAATTACATTTTATTGTTTGATTGCCCTTTGAACTGTATCTAACTACTATTTACACCATTAAGTTGTACATCACTTGGGGAACATGAAGTGGAGCTCACATTATGCTATTGAATTACATTACCCACAAGCTACTCCAAGCTGCTCACATGTGCCTCATGAAATATTTATATTATATTATTATTGTTTATTTTACCTAAACTTACCTTAACTAACCTAAAGAGATCCTTATTTTTCCAATTTAGTTACTTTTATAATAATAAATAAAGAATAAACATGAAAAACAAGAAATAAAGTATTTACCCAATCTTTTTTCTTGTTGTTGATTGTCAATGACACTTAACCCTTTTTTTAAAAATACTAATTGTAGTAATGCACTAAATAAGTTTTATTTTCTTTTTATTTTATTTTCTAACTATGTAACAAGAGCCATTACAGATTTATCCCAAGTAGTCATTAACTTTCTCATGGGAATGAACTATGTATTATAAGTTAAATTAATGCTTATCTGTTTAGAACACAATGTACTAAAATGTCATTTGATAGATGAAAAACCTTCACTTTCTATTTGTCATAGGTAATATATAATTAAACATAAGAGAGTACTATTAACAAATCCTGAAAGAGAAGATGCGGCAGGAGGGGTCTGATTTTCTATTTGATACCTATGTAACCAAACAAAATTGAAGGCTATAAAAAATTAGTTTGTCTGAGAAATGATGATTTTATATTGAGTAATTTATGTTGAATTTCGTACTTTTTGGAGGGGCGATGGATAAAATAGAAAACTAAAAATATCTAGAGAAAATATGTCACGTGTGTCACATTAGGGGAAATTCAGAATTTTTTAAAATATTACCTTGTAGAATTAAGAACTTATATACTATTACAATATGGATTATTAGATAAGATTTTATGCTATACTAATTGGCACAGTAAAATTGTGAATGTAAGACACAAAAAACTTGTGTCATGCACAGTAAAGGATACCTGTGGCGATAGGGTTAAAGTCTACTGTCAGACTATACGTTTCAATATGATTTCAAGTCTACAATAAGACAAGATGCCTCAACATAGTTTGAAGTCTACTAATAGACTAGAAGTTTCAATGAAGTTTGAAGTGTACTGTCAGACTAGATGTTTTGATATATGATTTAAAGTTTACTGTAAGACTAGATGTTTTGATATGGTTTAAAGTCTACTGTCAGACTAGATGTATTAATATGGTTTAAAGTCTACTGTCAGACTAGATGTTTTGATATGGTTTAAAGTCTACTGTTAAACTAGATGTTTTGATATGGTTTAAAGTCTACTGTCAGACTAGATGTATTAATATGGTTCGAAGTCTACTGTTAGACTAGATGTTTTGATATGGTTCCAAGTCTACTGTTAGACTAGATGTTTTGATATGGTTCAAAGTCTACTGTTAGACTAGATGTTTTGATATAGGTTGAAGTCTACTATAAGACTGTATGTTTTGAAGTCTACTATAAGACTGTATGTTTTGATATAGGTTGAAGTCTACTATAAGACTGTATGTTTTGATATGATTTGCATTATACTGTTAGACTAGATGTCTTGATATGGTTTGAAGTCTACTATAAGACTGTATGTTTTGATATGGTTTGAAGTCTACTATAAGACTGTATGTTTTGATATAGGTCGAAGTCTACTATAAGACTGTATGTTTTGATATGGTTTGAAGTCTACTATAAGACTGTATGTTTTGATATGGTTTGCATTATACTGTTAGACTAGATGTCTTGATATGGTTTGAAGTCTACTGCCAGAGAGATGTTTTTCTACGGTTTGAAGTCTACTGTCAGACTAGATGTTTTAATATAATGATTTGAAGTCTACTGTAAGACAAGATGTTTCGACATGGTTTGAATTCTACTATAACACAAGATGCTTTGACAGGCTTTGAATTCCTCTGTCAGAGTAGATGTTTTGATACTGTTTGAAGTCTTCTATCTGATTAGATTATTATAAAACATGAATACAGGTTTTCATGTAAAAGTAAACTGTGTAACAGTACAAATAACTAAATGAAATAACACATATCCCACATTTTCACCTACAGTTATAAACATCACTTTTGTAATGCAGCCAATTTCTGTGTAGGACATGAATATGTTTTAAAGCAAGTTTATTAAGCTGAGTAATGATCTAATACACAAAAAAATTTATTTTTCTACACAGATAAAAATCAAATAGTTACTTACTTTAACCAAATTACTTGGCTCATAGCCACTTTCTTCATAGTCAAAACTAGAAAATGACAATTAAAAACATTGAAGAATAAAGTAAATTATTCATTTTTTAAAATGTTTCCTTTAAAATTTACATAGTATTCTAACTATCCTTCAGGTTTATATGGCCAACCATTAGACTTTTAACCCATTTTTTTCTTTTCTATTTATGAATCATATTGGTCGTAAGCCCATGATAATATGTAGACCACACTGCTATATTCAGATTAGAAGAACTCAATATCCAACAACATGTAGACTACACTGCAATATTGAGATAAGAATTCCTCAATATCCAAGAATATGTAGACCACACTATTATATTCAGGTTAGAATTACTCAATATCTGTTAATATGCAGACAACGCTGCAATATTCGGGTTTCCCTTACTCAATATCCAACAATATGTAGACTACAAAGTAATAATCAGGGCAGAATCTCTTAATATCCGAGAATATGTAGACCAAACTGCTATATTTAGGTTAGAATTACTCAATATCAGATAGTATGTAGATTACACTGCTATACTCGGGTTAGAATTCCTTAATATCTGAGAATATGTAGACCACACTATTAAATTAAGTTAGAATTACTCAATATCAGACAATATGTAGATTACACTGCTATACTCAGGTTAGAATTCCTTAATATCTGAGAATATGTAGACCACACTATTAAATTAAGTTAGAATTACTCAATATCAGACAATATGTAGATTACACTGCTATACTCGGGTTAGAATTCCTTAATATCTGAGAATATGTAGACCACACTATTAAATTCAGGTTAGAATTACTCAATACTTGACAATATGTAGATCACACTGCTATACTCAGGTTAAAATTCCTTAATATCTGAGAATATGTACCCTACACAGCAATATTGAAATACAAATTCCTCAATATCTGAGAATACGTAGAAAACACTATTATATTCATGTTAGAATTACTCAATATCCGACAATATGTAGACAACACTGCAATATTCAGGTTAGTATTATACAATATCAGATAATATGTAGACTACAATGGTATATTCAGGTTACAATTACTCAATATCAGACAATATGTAGACCACACTGCTATATTCAGGTGAGAATTACACAATATCAGACAAATGTAGACCACACTGCTATATTGAGGTTAGAATTCGTAATATCCGAGAATATATAAAGCACATTGCTATATTCAGGCTAGAATTACCCAATATCAGATAATATGTAAACCACACTGCTATATTGAGATTAAATTACTCAATATTTGAAAATATGTAGATTACACTGCTATATTCAGATAAGAATTACTCAATATCCAAAATATGTAGACCACACTCAAAATCAGATAACATGTAGATTACAATGGTATATTCAGGTTAGAATTACTCAATATCCAACAATAAGTAGACTACACAGCAATATTCAGGGTAGAATTCCTCAATGTTCATATTCCTTTATATTCAGGGAAGAATTACTCCATATCTGACAATATGTAGACCACACAGCTATATTCAGATTAAAATTACTCAAGATCAGATAATATGTAGACCACACTGCTACATTCAGGTTAAAATTACTGTATATAAGACAAAATGTAGATCACACTCCTATATTGAATTTGAAATTACTCAAGATTTGAAAATATGTAGATTACACTGCTATATTCAGGTTAGAATTACTCAATATCCAACAATATGTAGACTAAGAAGTAATAATCAGGGTAGAATCTCTTAATATCTTAGAATATGTAGCCCACACTGCTATATTCAGGGAAGAATTTTTCAATATCAAACAATATGTAGACCACACTGCTATATTCAGATAAGAATTACTCAATATCAGATATCATGTAGATCACAATGCTATATTCAGGTTAAAATTCCTCAATATCAGACAATATGTAGACCACACTGCTAAATTCAGGTTAAAATTACTGAATATCAGAAAATATGTAGACCACACTGCTATATTCAGATTAAAATTACTCAAGATCAGACAATATGTAGACCATACTGTTATATTCAGTTTACAATTACTGAATATCAGAAAATATGTAGACCTCACTACTATATTCAGATTAAAATTAGTCAAGATCAGACAATATGTTGATCACACTGCTATATTCAGGTTAGAGTTACTCAATATATCAGACAATATGTAGACTACACTGTTATATTCAGGTTACAATTACTCAATATCTGATAATATGTAGACCACACTGCTATATTCAGATTAAAATTACTCAAGATCAGACAATATGTAGACCACACTGTTATGTTCAGGTTAGAATTACTCGATATCTGACAATATGTAGACCACACGGCTATATTCAGGGTAGAATTTCTCAATATCTGAGAAAATGTGGACCACACTGCTATACTGAATTTGAAATTACTCAATATTTGAAAATATGTAGATTAAACTGCTATATTCAGGTTATAGTTACTCACTATCAGACAAAATGTAGATCACACTGCTATACTGAATGTGAAATTACTCAATATTTGAAAATATGTAGATTAAACTGCTATATTCAGGTAAGAAATATTCAATATCAGACAATATGTAGACCACACTGCTATATTCAGATAAAAATTATTCAACATCAGATAACATGTAGATTACAATGATATAATCAGGTTAGAATTACTCAATATCTGACAATATGTAGACCACACTGCTATATTCAGATAAA